CCCAGCTACTAGGAAGACAGCTAACTACATCCCAGATGAAACCAGGACAATCATCATCACCCCATCCCACTTCAACAGGCAGAAGTCACTCCAACAAGTCACCACGTCCTCCGCAACTACATTATCTGCACAGAGCAACTAAAATCCCCCAACACATTATCTCCAACACTGATACGTTAAAATCGTTGAAGACAAAGATTCTCAACCTCTTCCACCTGGTGACCTCCTTTACCACAGAAGAGTGACCTGGCATGGCTCTCCTTTCAGCTTTCAGGAAATCTTCTCAGCTCCCAGCCTAGATCAACAGCTCCTCCCAAAGGAGATTTATGGGCACAGCAAGTAACAGAAATTAGTTAACCCTCTAGTTAAAACGGCTGGGGGGCGGGGCGGGGAGGGGCGGGGGGGAAAGATACGGCAACACTGACTCTCAACAGCGTGCACTGCAAAAACGAGCAGAGCAGGAGAGGAGAGAGATATTCCGATCCTTACAATGAAAAGACACACCGATTCAGACAGAGCAGCACTTAAAACTCGTACCAAAAAGGGGAAGCGCAACAGCTTTGCCAGTGTGCTTTCTAGGCCGTATAAAATGACTCCCTAGCTAGCCAAAGGGCTAATATATGGACAAGCAATCATTTCAAGCGCAACAGAGAAACAAAAACGCAGGAATTAACCACTAAAAGGAAAAACACAGTGGCATGCCCATATATGTTAAGTGAGCTCTAAAGCAGCATGCCAGGTAACAATGCTGGTTATATTTAGACTCTTTCCCACTTCTTAAGGGAACAGAAAGGTCATTTTAGGAGCAACCAAAGCTATCCAGAAGTGCACTCGAGGTTTACATTCACACCATGTTAACATTCAAAGCTGGGTAACAAGTTTTTGTTCTTAATCGGTCCTGTGCTTCTTTTGTCACACATGATGCACAGAGAAGGCAGCGTACCACGAGGCTGTTTTGTTCCTTCTGCTGCAAGATCCCAACAAAGGCGAATACCTGGAAGGATGGGGGGCGGGGCAGGAGAAAAGTACGTTTGGACGACATACCTCAAAGGAGGTTAAGTAACCTCCTTTTTTGTTTGTTTCGGAAGACCGTTCACGTATATTCACCACTCTGCATGACTAACCAACAACTGTCACAGACTTACACCTCCTCAGAGATGGGCCTCTGAATCCTTCACACAGCAGTTTCGACCCACTTTGCCACACGCTACAGCCCTGGCGGGCTTCTACAACAGCATGTTTCGTGGTACGGAGAAGCTTGGAAGGTACGGAGAGCCTCCAGGTGGCTGCTTGACAAACGTTAGGCATTCCCAGCAACTGGTACGACTTGAGCTCTGACCGATTATAGCCCAGTGACAAATGGAAATGTCACGTTGTTGGTCTCCAAAACGAGCTTGACACAACTGGAAAACAGCTTGTCCGTCTGCACAGAAATGGGTGAGACCTTGCGTCTTTCAGCACCGAGACAACCAAACTCTGAAAGGAGTTTACCAGCGTAAAAAGGAAAGTCTCAGCAATGCTGAGGATGAAATAAGAATCTCAGCCTCCGGTATTCAGTTTGGGGATGAAAACGGTTAATTCCCCGGCAGACGCTACTTTGGGACAGAAGTTAAGAACGAGCTCACACAAAACACCCCCTATGGAAGGAATACTGTACAGGCCATCCGCCAGAGGATTTGGATCTCCTCCACACTGAAACGGTGTCCTCGACTGATGGAGACTGAGTTTTCTTTCTTTGCTTCTGTGGTTTTTTTCTGGGCCAAAGAAAAAGCTGAAGCCTGGAATCATGAATCCCTCAAGATGGAAACTCCTCTGCGGAAGGACGCAACTTGACAGATGGGACAGACCAAGTCACTACAGAGACAATAACAGCGAGGGAGAGTCCACAACCTATGGGCTGCCACGGATCCATTCTTACAGAAGAATTCTTTGCAGGTAGGAGGAATGAGAAACACCAAATGACACCCGTTGTTTGTGTGAGCGATAAATGCCTGGTCTTTGCTCCCGTAAGGATGCAAAGCCTGCAGCAGAAGTGAGAAGGCAAAGCCATAACCAGGTTTCATTCCAAGACGGCTCACGTAACGGTGAAATAATTTACACAGCTCCCCTCTGGACACCAAATAACCCCAGAAAAGATTCTGTTTGATGAGATACAACCTTTGTGCTACTGCAAAGGTAGTGCAATTTGCGCTGCCCTTAAACAGGCACGTGGACAAACTAGACAACCTAACTCTGCACGTTCTTAACAATCATGAGCGCAGCTTCCAAAGGCATAGCAAAACCACAACGGTCCTCATCATTCTCTGAACACGGGCCCAGGAGGATTTCATTGCACAGACCTTCATAGACATTTTGAAAACAACCACGCATGCAACACAACTGTATTACTTCAAGTGCTAAGAAGATACAAAAAGGTGTAAAGGTTACCGAATGTCCTCCGACTCTGCCCCGTAACAGCTCTCGCAGCGATCCGCATCCAAAGATTTTGGATCAAACGCTTTTTCTTCTTCTTTCCCCAGCTCTAAGACAAAAGAGGATTCAAAGCGATGAGGCATGTCTAGAAACGCTATCTTGTACTCTTGTTCCGTTCTGCACGTAATAACTGTTCTACACATGAACGCAACGTTTCTGTGTTGGAAGCTGTGCGTCCTGTACCCAAAACCCACCTGAAATGCTATGTGTAGAGCCTGTTGTGTGAAGTAAGACCAAGAAGCAGAGTGGCATTTGTCATCTCAAGAACACCCTCCATAGAAAGAACTGGCTATCTCTAAGCCTTGCTGGAGCGCTGATCAGATGTTACTTGCCTAAAGGCTTTGTTAAAACATTTTCTACCTCAGATAATGTCGCACAGTAAATGGCGACAATTGTAACAGGACCTGTTACACAAACAACATTTTAAATAGCAGTCAACTGCAGTCAACGCATAATCCTGTCCCAAGACATGCAGGGAACATGGTTATACATTGCTGTGAAACAAGATCAGAGCGAGAGTCTCCCAAGTGGAAAATTGGCACCCAGTCCTCCAGGATGACAATGCTGACGAGGCACACACGTTAACCCCTGCTCACTAGAAGTCTCCAAGGAATTTCTACCTTCTTCGTGACTTAACAATTCTGACAATGTCTGTGCCACGTTGTGTGTTGAACGTGCAGCCACAGTACGGCTGGGGCACGAACTCATGGAAATTCATGGTCTTACGTGCAGAAGGCTGAAGAGGGACAAAAACATTGGCTCTTATCATAAGAGGCCCCCTTAAAAGCAGGCCGTTTCAACGCACAAACCCTGAAGGACAGGACCAAGTCTCTTGCGTAACAAAAGCCCTCTAAGGCTCACTATCCAGGCACGGCTGCGCTACCCTCTATAAGCCTTGAAAAGGTGGCTCCTTGGATCACTAACGCTGGGGAAGGGGACAAGGTACATAGTCAGACACTGCTGAGGGGATAAAACGTTATCAGGGCCCTGTCTGTTGAGACTGGGGGGTATAACAGGCGGACGGAAGCGAGTATTAAACATGTCTGTATTTCGTACTAGCCACAGAAAAAAGAGATTTTAATTGGAAAGTATGAAATGGGCATCAAAATCAGTCATTACCCTTATTTCTTTAATCACATACTTTATGGCAATTACCCTCAAGAAAATAAGAACTTTTAGGAAAATATCCCCATTAGTAAACAACTGTGTGAGACTTACTTTCTAAAGCTTGCAACATTCAAAGTAGCTGAAAGCACACTTAAGAATTCATTGTTCAAAAAGCGGTGTGGCTTTTAATCTCGTAATTACACTCAAAGACAGCGTCAGGAAGAATACAGCTAAATAATCGCGACGCTTTGTCAAAGCCATGATTCCCACCACTTCAACAAGAACACCTGCACGATGCATGGAGTCTTTCAAGACACAGCAACCAGTAACAGCTTTTTAAATATAGTCAGTAGCTGCCTGTTGAGTTGTCTCAGAGAGATAAATCCAGAGTTAATGCACACAGTTTGGATACTACAAAGAAACTGCAGTACATAAAACTCCACACGCAGGGTTTCTTGCCGTTAACACGGTCCTCAACTTGCACGCAGATATGATACATGAAATTGGAAAACTCTGTCCACATTAAAAGGAAGGAAATGATAAGAACCACCAATAAAGAATTCAATCATTCCTTGTCATTCAATGGAAAGGAGTAAGACAACAACCAAGCACAGAATGCAACCTACCACAGAAATCATTCAGCTATTAACTATTTTAATGTAACTATGATTAGGAAAAGCCTCCAGATACTACTTCATGAAATTTGGGTATGCTTTACTAAATTTAAGGTCAATACTGCTATAGCTGCCATTTAAATAACTGACTGAAGGTCAGTATCACTAATAGAAACTGATAATCATAGAGTTTAATGAAGATGGCTGGATACTTCTGATCTAACCTGCAACATGGGTGATGGAAACCAAACTAGCCGCGTGCTTCTTCCAGACAGCAGAAGAAATTGCTTGTTGCCTGCAATGCATCTGATCTCTTTGGAAATGCCTTTTCTAGGTGAGACCGTTTGCTCCTTACGAGTTTCTCTCCCTCTCCCTTGATTATACAAGGAGTCAGAGCAACCGGTTCAGATGGAGTAATGCCAACGGAGACTGGCAATACAAGTAAGGCAGGAGGCCTACATGTGTTAACAGAGAATTAGATACAGAACAGCTGGTTTTGTCCCCAGGCATTACATTTGTAACGCCACAACCTCTGAATACAGAAAGGCTGCTAAGTGAAACAGTAGTAAAAGCACTATCACCACATTCCCGTGACAACAGCAGAAACTCTCATACCTACCAATTGTTCAGCTCTTGGCTTAGTTTAGCCTTGCAACTTCAAGAACAGAAAAGTTCAATCCGAGTGATACAAATCAACAAATTCAGCTCGTGCCGACACGTAGAACTGCACCATCTCCCAGAAAAAGTAAGAAGGAGCTCGTGTCTTGGAAAGGAAAAGTCAGGACAGTATTACTGTTAGGTTGCAACACTTTGCCAGAATCGTTTCTGGTTTGTATCGAAGCGCAACGATGAGTCATAACACCAAACGAATGTAAAGGAGAGGTTTATGTAGCCAAGGACCACTTACTACAACCTGTAACCGATAAACCAACTAAAATATATTTATCTAGGTAGGCATTAACACACACAAAGTAAATGTAGTAAGGTGCAAGCTTGGGCTTAAGGGTCGAGTCACTGGAGCCTTCCCTGGAGAGAGGCTCTTTCCTCTAACCAGGTCGTCCCGTTTGCCAGCCCACTGCGATTTAAAGGTACAACCAAAGCCAAGTTTTGCCAGAACAGCTGCTTGATTCCCAGTCATAAAAGACCATTCACGCAGCAGCTTTATTCCTGAAATGCACCCGTGAGTCCTCGTCGTAATTTCAGAGGGACTAGGCAGAGATCTGCCTCGCAAAAGCTGCCAGTATAACAGGAGTTCGCCTGATCGGCCAGTTTAAGAGATCTGCGTGCTATAAACTCTTCAAAAGTTTGCGGTCTTTAAATGCTCTTCAGCTGTCACTTGTGCCCGTGAATCTCAAAACAGGCACACGGTGACGGAAAGACGACGAGAGCGTCCACCCAAGAAAGGCAGAATAGCACCTTACCGTGGCTCTCGGCCTCCGGACTCACACGATTGCCGGCTTTATCCAAACGTTGGTTGTTTAAACGGATTGTGCTCTACATCCAGCTGCTGCTCTCCTGCTACGTCCCTGGCATCGATGCTCAAATCTGAAATCAGTGAGCAAGGAAAGCGGTCTATAAACACACGTTTGTTACGGCCTGCGGCAGGCTGAGGAAGCATTCAGCCAGTGAAAATACAGACTCTTGCAGCGAGGGCGATAAGAACGTGCCAAAGCGGAAGAGGGCGTATGGCTGGGGACAAGTGACGTACAGGGAACAAAACGCACGTTGCGGCACCCTGAACGACCCTTCCAAATACGGGGTTGGGTTTGGTGCACCAGAAGGACGGTTTCCAGCTGCCCAGAAAGCGTTACCCTGAAAGGTAATACACTTAAGGCAAAAGAAACCAAAACCAAACCCCTCAAAGCCCATAACCATTTCCAGGAGTACAGGAGTTAAGCTTCACATTGGTTGAAAGCTGCCTCCTACCACTACCCCCTCACCCTTCCCCCTTCACCACCAGCACATTTCCTCCTGACCCCTTTTCACAAAGAAGACGGAGAAGGTCTGGGGTCTCGGCCCGGTATCGAAGCACCGTGATGCACTTGCTGGCTACATGCTCTCTTACAAGACTGACAGCTTCTCTGCACAAAACAGCAGGGGCTTCCAGCCTCTCTGGCCTTCCCGTGCCCTTTTAAATGTGAGGAAGGCAAAGACTAATAATATCTTTGGTGGTCAGAAGGAAGTCAGACTCACTGTGTTTAAAGCCCAATGCATTACCCAAAGGAATTACCGCAACAGAACAAGAGGCAGGGAAGATTAGCGGACAGTCGGATAACGTGCACAGCAGTGGTAAGCACTAAGACTTGCAAAATTTTCCGTCACTTCACCCTGCAGCTTTGTTTTGAATTTAGTTAAAAGGTAATCCGACTATTAACGCTCACTCTGATTTTAAAAATTTGGGAGAAAGGTTATCACGTGGCATTGGCGTTACAGTCAGAATTGAAGTACAAAAACCACGGAAAAGTTGCGCCTCGCCAAGTAACTTCCAAAGGAGACTCTAAAGTGTTCCAACAACAGTACAGTCAAATCTCGAGTCCCAGGCGAACACCGAACGCTGTGCCAGCGTTTTCAGTATGACCGAGCTCTCTGACAAAGCACCACACCGCACAGAAACGTAAGCGGGTTTATACCTTAGCCTCACGTATCATCTCAAAAGGTAATACAGCCTGCCTGGAAGCGCTGGTTTAAGCGCCCAGCGGGCCTGGCTGGAATCACTGCGTAACCACCAGGGATCACCAATTCCTCCCTGTCTGTGGCCCAAGCAGCAGTGCAGCACTCGGAAGCACCGGGCACACCGAGCCTGTCGGGCCCTCGGCAAGTATGAAAATTATCCCCAACATTCAGAAGGCTGACTCACAAGCACAAGGCATATGTGGAAAAATAACATCGAGATTGATCTTCAGTTTATCTCCCCTTGATTTGTCAACGTACAATTCCGGATGAACCTAGGAACAAGGGAAAAACGGAGAGTCCTGTTTCACTTGGAAGCCCATCAAAAGGCCTCCTTCTTTCCCTCGACTGCTCTGGCTCACCAGCTGATTTTTAAGAGGTGGGATTCAAGAGACACCTGAGCTGCTGCCTCCCACCGCAGCCAAGCGCTTGCCATTTCTAACGCTTTTTTTTAAGAAAGGTAGTAACTTGGGAATCTTAGAACCTGGGGTGGGGACGGGGGCTCCCGCGCTTCCTTGCTTTCCTTTGCATTGCCTGCTCGTAGGCGGCAGAGGCAGCGAGAAGAGACTTTGGGCCGCTCTCCTGCCACCGCGTTACAGGAAGCCACAAGCCACCCTTGGCGCCAAGCGGCTTTCGGGGGAGGGCAGCCCGCTCCCGGCCTCAAGGCCACCAGCTCGGAGAAAGAAAAAAACCCCACGCAGATCTGCGGCGGGTGAAGCTGCCGCGTGGGCAGCCCGCAGGAGGCGGCGGAGGAGGCGGCGGAGGAGGCGGCGGCTCGGCGGGGGTGCGGAGGCACGGCAGGCCGCCCCGGGCCGCAGGGCCGCCCCGGCCAGAAGCAGCACCGCGGGGCCGGGCCGGGCCGGGCCCCCCCCGACGCCGCCACTCACCTCCTTGGTGAGGTAGTACTGCAGCTCCGAGAAGAAAAGCAGCACCATGATGAGCCCGCTGACAACCGTCACTGCCGGGGAGACGAGAACCGCCGTCAGCCCCGCCGGTCGCGCGCGCCCGCCGGCCCCCGGCCGCCCTCACCCCGCCCGCTCACCCAGCGCGCCCCCGCACGTCTTGACCCGAAAGCCCTCCAGGGTCTTGTCTTGGGGAAGGCATCGAACCGCTTCAGCCGCCACAGCGAGTCCATGGCGCCGCGCGGCCCGGAACCAAACCCGCCTTCCGGCGCCGGGCCGGCACCGCCCCGCCACCGCCCCGCCGGGCAGCGCGGCCCGAAGCCGGCCGAGGGGGGGTCCGGGGGGAGGGGCGGGGAGGGGCTGGGGCTCCCGGGCTCCTCCGGGGCGGGAAGGTCCTCGCTGCCGCCTCGCCCTCTTCTGACCCTCCCTGCCAGCGGCCCCCGGGCCTCTCCAGGACACCCGAGAGACGCTGACTGTGCCGAGATCGGTTAGCTGGGAAGGGCTTGAGACCAAGGCGGAGCTGCTGGCAGAGAGCAGTTTTCACTCAGTTTGACCTCCTCCCCATCCCCTGCCTCCAGCTTTGAAAGGGCTGGCGTTTGTGACCCCCGCCCTTCGGAGAACAACCGAGCTGTCCCTCAGGCTGGCTGTCGCAGCGACAAAGCTGAAAGCCAATCACCTCGGGAGAGTACCAGCGCTTATTGTGCCGAAGCACGGAAGGAAGAAGGAAGGAAAAGAAGGAAAAAGGGAGGAAAAAACCGCTGCGCTCTCGCCCCACCTCCCATCCCTGGCCTGCGCCCTTCACCCCTTCCTCTTGCTACCACCTCCGTGTTTCCCTCTCTTGTCACAGGGAAGGGCTACGAACTCAAGAGGTTAAATCGTACAGCAGCTCGCAATAGCTTACTCGTGCAAGTGAAAAAGACAGCATAAGCTTTTCCTAAGCCACATACTTGCCTAGCCCTTGCTTTTTCCTACTAAAAAAGTGCAGTCCTGCAAAATCTCTTTTATTAAAACAAAAATTTTTTTAAATCCCTGTCGCTAGGAAATGCTTCCGAACGCAAACAGAACAGATGTACCCCCATTTCCCACAGCAAAACATAATACATTTCCAGGAAGGGCACCAGACCGGAACGCCGTGATGCTGCAGCTGCTCCTCTACAGGAAAAGAAGGTTCAGAGAGGCTGACCCAGCTTCCGAGCCTCTGCTTCCAGAACAGCAGCTTTCGGCTCCCTGACCACAGCTGCTAAGGAGCGAGACAGCTCTTGGTGAAGGTCTGACAGCTCCTGGCTGGTCTTGGCACAGCGCTCGATATAGTCCTGCTTGTATTTTCGTTCTTGTGCCAGCTGCGTCTGCAGAAGGGACACCTGAAAGAGGCAAAAGGCCGAGCTCAGACAAGCCCACGCTCTTAGGACCATCCGTAGCTCCACAGATCCGGCCGTCAGGGAAGACGCACCCTCCAACTCCAGCCCTGACAAACACGTTGTCCTTGTGGAATGGGAACTAAGAGGTTGCCAGAGCCACCCTGAACTGAGCTCAGATTACCGGCAATTCCGAGTTTCTTTCTGGCATACCATTCACAAGGCACAACACCGAGACGTGACATGCATATTAAAGAGAGAGGTTTCTACAGGATTTCGTAACCCAACCCTTTTTTTCAAAGGAGAGATTTGGGCTGCTGCCACCTTAGTTCCACCTGCTTTCTCCTCAGCAGGAGGACTGCTGCTTACACAAGGTAGTGAAGAACCGTTCTGTTACGATCTACTTTAGAAACCTGACAGCTAGCACATGAAACGGGAGAAAACTCTCACTCTTCCTAACTTCAGAGCATTTCACGAATGAGCAGAGCATAATCTGATGAACACAGCCCGGGGGGCAAAGGAGCCTTAAAGGACTGCTGAGGCCTTCAAAATCCTCAAACTCTTATTACTTCCTGGCAACAGCGGGTTGTGCCTGCTGGGCTTTTTGGTGGGAGAGACCCAGCTGCTCTCGCCTCCTGTCAGCATTGCAGGGCAGCGCAGCCACAGCAGCTCTGGCATGTTGCCCTCTGCCTGCTTTGGAGCGGAGGAGATGCCAGCACTGGGAGCAGCGCTCGGTGCTTTGCTGTTTCGGGGAGAACAGCTCAGGCCAGAGGGTCTCCTCTGTTTTCAAAGTGACATGTGCTTTGCCAAGGGCTCTGTCCCACGTGGGAATGCCATCCCCAACCTCGAGCTAGGAGTACGAAAATATTCTTTCTTGGCAAATGAACTCAAATCA